CTTTATCTTATTTATTTCTGCTAGGATATTTAGTAATTCCTTCCTTCTACTGACTTTAGGTTTCTTCTTTTTTTAGTTAGATTGCTTATTTGAGAATTTTTTCTGTTTTCTTGAGGTAGAACTGTATTACTATAAACTTCCCTCTTAGAACTACTTTTGCTAAGTCCCAAAGATTTTTTTTTTTATTCATGAGAGACAGAGCGAGCGAGAGAGAGAGAGAGAGAGGGAGAGAGAGAGACAGAGACACAGGCAGAGGGAGAAGCGGCCCCTTGCAAGGAGCCCAGTGTGGGACTCAATCCCCGGTCTCCAGGATCACACCCTGGGCCTAAGGCTGCGCTAAACTGCTGAGCCACCCGGGATACCCAAGTCCCAAAGATTTTGAACCATTTTGTGTCCATTTTCATTTGTCTCTGGATGTTTTTTAGTTTCCTCTTTTATTTCTTCATGACCTATTGGTTGCATCTTATTTAGCCTCCACATATTTGTGTTTTTTCTAATTTCTTTCTGTAATTGATTTCTAGTTTCATACCATCATGGTTGGAAAATATGCTTGATACGATTTCAGTCTCCTTAAATTTATTAAGACCTGTTTTGTGGCCTAAGACGAGAACTATCTTGGAGAACATTCCATATGCACCTGAAAAGAATGTGTATTCTGTTGTTTTTGGATGGAGTCTTCTGTATATATCTGTTAAGTCTACTGGTCTGATGTACCACTCAAAACCACTGTTTCCGTAATGCTTTTTTGCATGGATGATCTATCCATTGATGCAAGTGGGATTTTAAAGGCCTCTACTATTATTGTACTACTGTCAATTTCTCCCTTTATGTCTATTAATATTTGCTTCATATATTTAGGTCTTCCTATGTCAGATGCATAGATATTTACAATTGTTATATTCTCTTGTTGGATTGATCCCTTTATCGTCATGTAATGCTTTCCCTTGTTACAGTCTTTGTTTTAAAGTCTATTTTGTCTAATATAAGTATTGCTGCCCCGGCTTTTTTTTTTTTCTACCATTCTCATGGAATATCTTTTTCTACCCCTTCACTTTCAGTCTGCATATGTGTTTAGGTCTGAAGTGAGTCTAGTATAAGTCTAGTATAAGATGGTCTTATTTTTTTTTATCCAGTCATCCTATACCTTTTGATTTTATGTTCATTTACATTTATAGTAATTATTGATAGGTTTGCACTTATTGCCCTTTTGTAAGTTGTTTTCTGGTTGTTTTGGTGGTAGTTCTTTTCTATTGCTTTCTTCTCTTGCTCTCTTTGCTTGTGATCTGATGACTCTTTTAGTGTTAGGCTAAGGATGTCTTTGTCCTTATTTTTTGTGTATTTATTATACAATTTTTGGTTTGTGATCACTGTAAAGCTTATATATTACATCCTATGTATGTAACAATCTATATTTAAGTTGGTGGGCACTTGAGTTTGAACATATTCTGAAATTACTACATTTTTACTCCCCTACTCCATGTTTTAATGTATATGACATAATATTTTATATCTTTTTATTTTGTGTATACCTTAGCTAAATTTTATAGGTATAATTGACCTTGTCTTTACCTTCACACTAGCTTTATAAGTGATTAATCTACTACCTTTCTGTGTTTGCTTTTACCAGTGAAATTGTTTCCTTTCATAATTTTCTTCTAGTTATGACCTTTTATTTTCCTCTTAAAGGGATCCCTTTAACATTTCTTATAAGGTTGGGTTAGTGGTGATGAACGTTTTCAACTTTTGTCTATGAAACTCTCTCTCCTTTAATTCTGAACAATAATCTTGGCAGATACAGTATTCTTGGCAGTAGATTTTTTTCCTTTCAGCACTTTGTATTATGTCACTCCTTTCTTTCTGCAAAGTTTCTGCTGAAATATCTGATGATAGCTTTACGGGGGTTTTCCTCATCTGTAACTATTTACTTTTCTCTTTCTGCTTTTATGATTCTCTTTAATTTTTGCCATTTTTGTAACGTGCCTTGGTGTGGACGTAGATCAATCCAACAAGAGAATATAACAATTGTAAATATCTAGCCTTAGAGGCTTTTTGTGCTTCCTGGACCTGGATGTCTGTTTTCTTCCCCAGGTTAGAGAAATGTTCAGCTATTACTTCTTCAAATAAGTTTTCTGTCCCATTCTTCCTCCTCTTTCTGGGATCCCTTTAAGGTAAATATTAGTACACGTGATGTTGTCTCAGAGATCCCTTAATCCACCCTTAATCCATATTTTTAAAATTCTTTTTCTTTTTGCTGTTCAGTTTGAGCACTTTCCACTCTCCTGTCTTCCAGATTGTTGATCTGTTCTTCTGCATCCTCTAAGTTGCTGTTGATTTCCTCTATTGTATTTTTAAGCTATTATTCCACTCTGATTTGTGCCTTTTTATGTTTTCTCTTGTTGATATTCTCTCTGAGCACTTTTCTCAGTGAGCATCCTATGACCATTACTTTGAGCTCTTCTGTAGTTAGATTGCTGATCTCCATTTTGCTTAGTTCTTTTTCTGAGGTCCTGTCATCATCTTGTTGGAATACATTCTTCTGTATCCTCATTTTGTCTGACTGTGTTGGCTTCTATGTATTAGGTAGAGTAGCTATGCCTCCTGGTCTTGAAAGTAGTGGCCTTTTGTAGAAGGATCCCGTAGGGCCCAGTAGTGCAATCTCCCCGGTCACCAGAACCTGGCATTCAAAGGGTGTCCCTTGTGTGGGCTGCTTGCACCCTCCTGTTGTGACTGGGCCACAACTTCTGTGGCATCCTGTTGGGCAGGGCTGTTCCTGCGTGAGTGGCCTGGCTGTACTGCTGCGGGTGTGCTGATGGGTGGGGCTGGCCCCCAGCCCAGCTGGCTGTTGGGAGCAGCTGCTGCAGACACACTGGTGAGCAGGCTGGCTCCTGACATGGCTGGGTGGAAGGCCCAGCTGTAGCTGCTGTGGGCACACTGGTGAGCAGGGCTGGCCCCGAGCACAGCTGCCATAGAAAACCCAACTGTAAACTGCTGCAGGCGTGCTGGTGTGCGGTGTTAGCTCTTAGCACAGCTGGCTGAAAGGCCTGGCTGTAGCCGCTGAAACATGCTGGGGTATGGTGCTGGCTCTCCACTAATCCAGGTCAGGAGTCACTTTGGATGGATGCCAGGCCCAGTTGTGGCTGCCTGCTGGGTGTGAGGGGAAGAGTCGCTTTGGAGGGACACCTGCCGGGGCAGGCAGGCTGAGTGGTGTGGGTCCACAGGGGAATGCTGGTGGAGGGGGCAAGCAATGCCAGCAAGGTAGATGAAGTATCAGAAGTGGCTCCTGTAAGCATCCAACCAGTGGCACTCAAGGAGGGCAAGAAAGATAGCGTCACCAGCACTTCTGTTCCTGGAGAAATCTCCTACAGATCCCTGCCCATTCACCAATGGACTAAAAGTAGTAAATAATCCTCGCACGTAAGCCAGGTGCTCGTCAAACTGCTGTTCCCGTGCTGCGTCTCAAACTGGGTGATATGGTGCCCTCTGAGAGCAAGGCTCTTGCTTTCCTGAAGTCCTCCAGCTCACCCAGAGTGAAGCCTCCGTGATTTTCAAAGCCAGACACTATAGGGGCTCGTCTTCCCAGTGCAGATCCCCAGGATGGGGGATCCCTTGGCTCCTCGGGGAAGACCTCCCTGCTTGTGATAGTCTTCTGGCTTGTGGTGGGAAAGCAGCCGCAGTGCCAGAGATTGGTCCCTGACTGCATCTCCGCCCCTCCTCCCCTTCTTGATAGGGCCTTCTCTGTATGCTTTTAGCTCTGGACTGGCCCTTCTGCCAGTCTTCAGGTGGTTTTCAGGGTCAGCTGTATTCTGTGTCCTTGTTGCTCCACCTCCCCTACCCCCTGCCCCGCATCTGGGAGGAGATGAGCTCGAGATCCTTCTCCTCCACCACCTTCCCCTGCTCTTCATCTGGGTCTCTTAAGCCTTTATGAATGCTGGACCTTGTAACAGGACAGCAGGGGTGGAGGTGAATCCTATTCATGCCTAGGAAAGGTCACGCTTTTCATTCCACCAGGTCATGGATGTGGAGTGTCGAGCAACCTAGTTGGGAGTGGAGTGCTGGGTACTGCTACCTTGTGCTAGTGTGGGGCCTGGAGTGCTGGAAGGTTCTTCTGTGCTCCGGCTTTCATGAGGCCTTGGGGCTTCTTTCTCCTGTGTCTGCACGAGGGGCTGCGGGGTCTTTCTCTAGCCACTTAGCTCTGAGGCTGCCCTCGGGGCGGGCCGCTGTGTTACTTGGGGCAGGCTGGTGGAGGGGCTGGTGGGTGGATCAGGGCTTCCTTGAGGTTCCTCCGCTTTCTTGTTGTGGCCTCAGTCTTGCGCGCCAGAGCTTCACGGGTAGGGCCCTCTCTGATGGTCTTGTGTCGGTAGAGTGGGATATCCTGGTTCCTTTCTACCTCTGTGCGATGGGCATGTTGGGATTAATTTGCACGTGGTTGGCAGAGGCCCCTCCGCAGGCTACGGGCACTGTGTCGTTCAAACTCCGGCACCCTACGGAGTGGTCTCTGAAGGTGGTAGCTCTGACCGTATGGCCTGCTGCAAAGCCCTCGGGTGAGGGCTCACCCGGTGGCCCTCGGGTCACACCCTGGCCTTCCTTCCTTCCTCCGGTAACCTAAGTCTTCCGCGTCCCGAGCCCCAGACCGTCATTCTGAGGGCAAACGTCTTGTTCTGTGTATTGCTGGAGATGAAACGGCGCCCGGCACGTGGCCGGGCTCAGCCACCGACTTGAGCGGGTGAGCAGCGGGTGCAAGGCCGGAAAGCCCCGACGTCCCCTGCACTCCGGCGGACACCTGCCCCCGCCCCGCCCCCAGGGTCAGTGCACGCGTCACAGAGCAGCCTTGCTGGGGATCGCCCCACGTCCCAAGTTCGGGGAGGGGCGCCTGCGCCCAGCCCTGTGCCTGTCAGCCCGGCAGGGACCTGGCGGCTCCGCGCCCCGCCTCCCGCCCCCCCCCCCCCCCGCCCGCGCAGGGTCCCCGGGAGGATGAGCTGGGGCCTGTCTTCTCGTTTCAGCAGGGAGGCCTCGCGCTCCCTCCCCGCTCGCGGAGGCACCGGACGCGGCCGGACGATGTGGGGCGCCCTGCGAGGCTGCAGGGGGCGTTGGGCCAGCGCGGGCCCCGGCGAGTACAGCCACGTGGTGGTGGGCGCGGGCTCGGCGGGCTGCGTGCTGGCGGGGCGGCTCACCGAGGACCCCGCCGTGCGCCTGCTGCTGCTGGAGGCCGGGCCCCGGGACCTGCTGGCCGGGAGCAAGCGGCTGCTCTGGAAGATCCACATGCCCGCCGCGCTCGTGGCCAACCTGCGCGACCACAGGTACAACTGGTGCTACCACACCGAGCCGCAGGCGGGCCTGGACGGCCGCGTGCTGTACTGGCCGCGCGGCCGCGTGTGGGGCGGCTCGTCCTCGCTCAACGCCATGGTGTACGTGCGCGGCCACGCCGAGGACTACGAGCGCTGGCAGCGCGAGGGCGCGGCGGGCTGGGGCTACGCGCGCTGCCTGCCCTACTTCCGCCGGGCGCAGAGCCACGAGCTGGGCGCCGGCCCCTACCGCGGCGGCCGCGGCCCCCTGCACGTGTCCCGCGGCCGCACCGACCACCCGCTGCACCGCGCCTTCCTGGACGCCGCGCGGCAGGCCGGCTACCCGCTCACCGACGACGTGAACGGCTTCCAGCAGGAGGGCTTCGGGTGGATGGACAGGACCATCCACCGAGGTAGCGCCCGCGCCCTTCCCCCCCCCCGCCCCCCGCTCCCCTCCCGCGGGCTCTCCTCCCTCGGGCCCCCTCCCCGGACCCCCCCTCCCCGGGCTCCCCTCCCCGTTCCCTGACCCCCAGACCCCCTCCCCTGGACCCCCGACTCCCCTCCTGGCTCCCCCCATCCCTCGGGCCCCCTCCCCGGACCCCCCCTCCCTGGGCTCCCCTCCCCGTTCCCTGACCCCCGGACCCCTCCCCCAGACTCTCTTCCCTTGGGCCCCCTCCCCGGACCCCCTCCTCCTGTTCCCTGACCCCTCCCCCAGACTCTCCTCCCTTGGGCCCCCTCCCCGGACCCCCCCCTCCCTGGGCCCCCGACCCCCTCCCCTGGACCCCCGACTCCCCTCCTGGCTCCCCCCATCCCTTGGGCCCCCCCCCCTTCCTCCTCTTGGAAGCCAGTCTCCACCAGAGCACCTGTGCCTCCTGCCCCCATCATGGGCAGCGGGTGACAGGAAACCGAGGCCACATGGCCAAGGTGTCACACCCCCTAGAGGCCACACAATACAGCCCACAGCCAGTGAGAGACAGTTTGGGAGACAGACCCGGGCATCTGCAGGCCTCTGGTGGCAGGGAGAGGCAACTGTGACCAGAGAGCCCAGAGGCTGAAGGGATGTGCAGATGAGGAAACCCGGGCACTGAGCCCCGAAGCGCCCTGCTCACGGCAGGGGTAGAGGCAAGGCCTGGGTTGACCTAGGCTCCTGCCTGCGTCCACAGGGTTTTCACTCCCTTTTATTAGCAGCTCCTGGCCTGCCATCCTGTGGGGAGTAAGGGGGCCTTCCACCCCCACGTGGATGCAGATTTCAGTCCAGCAGGGACTTTCGGTCTCAGCCTCACTTGGGAGGCGGAGCTCCCAGCCGAAGGAAGGGGAAGGTCAAATTCCATCTTTCTCCAGCCCCTTCCAACTCCCCACCCCGCAGGTACCAGGAGAAGGGGGGGGGCACCATTCCTGATGTCCTTGCTCTGTCCTGCAGGCAAGCGCTGGAGCGCAGCCTGCGCCTACCTGCACCCAGCCCTGAGCCGCCCCAACCTCACAGCCGAGGCCCAGACGTTTGTGAGCAGGGTGCTGTTTGAAGGCACCCGGGCAGTGGGCGTGGAGTACATCAAGAACGGGCAGACCCACAGGGTGAGTGGGGCCAGGGCCGCGGAGATGGAAGGGGAGGAGCCCTCACCCCGGTGGTTCCTCCCATACCTTTTCAGAAATTGAGAGGTTTCAGTAAGGCTTTAAAAACTGTAAATGTGAGTGTACTCCAGATTTCAGCACGACACTGTTTTCCACTTAGCGGTGTGTCCAGATCATTCCGCGTCCCCGTGAAGATCTGGCTCACTGTTGTTTTATTTAAACCGCTTGTTTGAGTATGTGCTTTTATTTATCTCATTTAAGCTCAGCAGTTCTAAGATTTTATTTATTTACTCATGAGACACAGGCAGAGGGAGAAGCAGGCTTCATGCAGGGAGCCCGATGTGGGACTTGATCCCAGGTCTCCAGGATCATGCCCTGGGCCAAAGGCAGGCGCTGAACCCCGCTGAGCCACCTGGGCCGCCCGGCAGTCCTGTGTCTAAGACCATCATTACAGTGTGGCTGCCGCAGAACACGTATCAGCACGTGAAGTGCGCTTTAGTATTGCACACTGGAGCCGCACATCCTCTTCCTTCCTCTGGGGCCCGGGAATGGGATCCTCACTCACCACCCGGGGACATCACGCCAGGGCCGGGTTCTCAGGGTTCTGTCTGGCTTTTCAGGAATTGTGACCTGTAGGCCCCTGTGTCTTCCAGGCTTATGCCAGCAAGGAGGTGATTCTGAGCGGGGGTGCCATCAACTCTCCACAATTGCTCATGCTCTCGGGTGTCGGCAATGCAGACGACCTCAAGAAGCTGGGCATCCCAGTGGTGTGCCATCTTCCGGGTGAGCTCCCTTCTCTGCCGCTCCTCAGAGGGTGCCTCTGCTAATAAAAGGGCTTATTGTAGTTCATTAGCATGGAGTGGGGAGGGGGGCAACTGTCAGTATTCCATGGAACGGTCACATTCTTCCCAAGAACCTCACTGGACACCTCTGCTCTCCGGGGGCCCCAAGTCTTTGTGTTTTTCCCTCCTCCCTGGCTCTCCTGTCCCACTGAGAGGTGATGCCCCTCAAGCAGGGAGGCTAGCCCGTAAAGCCCGTGGGCCAGGCTCGGCTAGGTCACCAGGGCAGCCCTACAGTGAGGGGGTCAGGCCTTTTGTTTTCTGTCCTTGGGACTCAGCAGCAGCTCGGACATCAAAGATGCCAACTCAGTGCTCCAGAGCATGCTTTTCATGCTGAGACAATAACCCCAGGCCTAACATTCATCTTACAAACTATCTTTGATACCCATTAGGGCCTCTTAACTCTCTTAAAACCCAGGCTCCCTCAAAATGACCCATTTTCCTATGGAGGCTTCATCATAAGAGGCCTGTGAGAGTGTTGGTCTGTGACAGCAGCCTGCCACCCCATGTCCCCGCGTGCTTAGATGAGCTGGCACAGCGTCTGCCCAGCACAAGGCCTGATTCTCTTTATCCCTACATCAGGGGTGCAGGGTGGGCCATCAGGCCATCTGGCAGCAGCTCAGGGAGTGGTGCCTGCTGAATGCTGGGGACCCATGCTCGGGGAGGGTGGCTGCAGGGAAGGACGGTGTTGGATGCTTACAGGGGCTGCCCTGGGAGTGAGTGACAAGGGCAGGTGGCTTTGGCAGCATGAGAGGACTAGACTTGGCCCTGAGTATGGGGATGATGTCCCGGGAGGTGACCTTTAAGCCAAAGTGAACAGGAGCTGGCCTGGCAGAGAAGTGGAAGGGGTGGGGGTGGGGCGTTTTCAAAGCCAGGGGACATTGAGAGGCCAGCACAGCCGAGGCCCCCTTGGAAGCTGTTTCTCGTAACCACTCCCTCCCATTTCAGGAGTGGGCCAGAACCTGCAGGACCACCTGGAGATTTACATCCAGCAGGCATGCACCCTCCCCATCACTCTCCACTCGGCACAGAAGCCCTTGAGGAAGGTCCGGATTGGTCTGGAGTGGCTCTGGAAGTTCACAGGTGGGCGTGCTGGTCCGGGACCTGATTGGAGCTGGTTGAGGGGCAGCACGGCCTCCCTCCTGAGGTGCTGAGTGAGGGCTCTGGCCTCAAGTCACTTATTCACAGCTTAGCTCTGCCTTTCGCCTCCTCAACTTTCCCATCTGCAAAATGGGGATATATAGTCACGCCCGGCAGGCTGTTGTGAGGACCAGATGCAGCACCCCAAGGCCTGTCCAGCGTATGATTCCTCAGAGCCTGGGTGCTGCTCTGTCTTACGGATGGACAGGAGTAAAGGCACAATCAACATCCATTTCTCAGCAGTTTTTTGTCTGTTTTTGGAGTCCCAGAGTACTGCCCAGGCCAGAATGTGGTCCTTGGAGATCCCCGTCGGCATGGGTTTCTCCCACACCTGCCAGCTATGCTGTGCCAGAAAGGCAGGTGCCCTCAAGGGAGCTTCCGTGCTGGGGGATCAATGGAAAGAATCCTTGTAAACCTGCTTAAGTTTTAAGATCAGGACGTTAGTAAAGTGGAGAATATCTGAGAGGTAGGAAGAAGGTGTAGGTGTTACAAGGGCCCCGGATCTAGGTATCTGGTGTTGGAGGACGAAATATGTTGGGCTAGGGAAACTGTAACATGTTGAGGAGGAAGTCAGGTCAGCAGTGAAGGAGTCCAGGGGAAGGGCAAAGCCCCCTGGCAGGAGCTGGTATTGACACCTGTGCTGTTGGATGAGCCCCCCCCCCCCCCCCGCCCGAGGATGAGAGGCCAGAGTTGAGCACTTTGGGTCCAGGCCCCAGAATAGGGCCTGGGGGAGCTACCCAGAGAGGGGAGGCCGGCCCACCTGCTCAGCTGCCTCGTCCTCTTCTGCTCCTCAGGGGATGGAGCCACCGCGCACCTGGAAACAGGTGGGTTCATCCGGAGCCGGCCCGGAGTCCCCCACCCGGACATCCAGTTCCATTTCCTGCCGTCCCAAGTGATTGACCATGGACGGGTGCCCACCCAGCAGGAGGCTTACCAGGTAAGCAGGCCGCATTGTCCTCATTGCAGCAGGGCCCTCGGCGGGCTGCGCAGGAGCCTTGTCCTGCTCTCCAGCTGTTCAGCGGGTCCGAGTGGGGAGGGGAGAGGCGGAGCCTGGAATCTTCCTGAGGCAGTGCCAGGAATGGCTCAGGGTAGATGCCCTAGAGATCCAGACTGCTGGAAATGGACAGACGTGGCCAAGGGCCCTGGGGTTTCCCTGAAAGCCCCTGGAAATTTAAGACCATCAGGTATAAAGCCAGGAAGCAGGTTCAGGTTCAGGGAGGGGGGGAGATCTTCCTTCCCCCCACTTGTGGAAGGTAGGGGGAATCTGTCTGCTTTTAATTGGCTCTGGGTGTGGAGTCCTATCCCACGGATATCCTGGGGCCTAAGCTGCTGAGTCAGGAGGTGGCAGGTCATGCTTCCTCTGGTTCTTCTAGGTACACGTGGGGACCCTGCGGGGCACGAGTGTGGGCTGGCTCAAACTGAGAAGTGCCAACCCTCGGGACCACCCTGTGATTCAGCCCAACTACTTGTCAACAGGTAATTCACCAGCCCCCATGTCTCCCCAGGCCTGGGCTTGCCAGGTCATTCATTCAGTGAATGAGTGAATGCCTTTATGGGGTTCACATTTGTCTCTGAATCATACCCCAGATGCAAGTCCCCCTCTGCCTCCCTCACTTTGGGCTATAAACTAGCACATGCTGCTGTGTGTGTCCTGGGTCACTTGAAGTAACCCTGGCAGGTCCTTTTGCACAGCGGGAGAAAGTTGCAGCTTTCAGAACAATTCACCAGAAGGTGCAAGGAGATCTGGCTGTGCACATAGAGCTCACAGAGCAGTTTTGCTGCTGTTACTCTGAGCATCCTCCAAAAGCAGATAACCTTCCTGGGCCTGCCTCTTTGCATGCAGCAGCAAAAAGGAGCACTCCCCATTGCTCACCGACGACTCGCAGCATGCTCACAACCACAGTGGCAAGCAGCAGGCTGTCTACTCTTGCCCCTCATTTAAACCCAGGGCCTCTGGGGCAGGCTGTGTCCACCTAGGATGCTGCCTATTGGCCTTCATGAGACTCTGCTTGGCTGCAGTCTAACTGGCCATGAGTAGGTGACAGACGACCTGGTGGCTCTGTGCCCCTGAGGTTTTCCGGCCTGAGCACCCTGGTCTGTGGATCCACTACGGCAGTGGGATCACAGGGCTGGCAGGCGCTGACCGTTGCTTCGGGCAGCTTACTGAGCCTCTTCGTGCTCAATCCGCTGGTAAGAGGCGGCACCTCACCTGTCTCTTCTCATTGACAGAAACCGACATTAAAGATTTCCGCCAGTGCGTGAAGCTTACCAGAGAAATTTTTGCCCAGAAAGCCCTGGCACCATTCCGGGGGAAGGAGCTCCAGCCAGGAAGCCACGTGCAGTCAGACACAGAGATAGATGCCTTTGTGCGGGCAAAAGCAGACAGCGCCTACCACCCCTCGTGCACCTGCAAGATGGGCCAGCCCTCTGATCCCACTGCCGTGGTGGATCCGCAGGCCAGGGTCCTCGGGGTGGAGAACCTCAGGGTGGTGGATGCCTCCATCATGCCCAGCGTGGTCAGCGGCAACCTTAACGCCCCCACCATCATGATCGCGGAGAAAGCAGCGGACATCATCAAGGGGCAGCCTGCGCTCTGGGACGAGGATGTCCCTGTGTACAAGCCCCAGACCCTGGCCACCCAGCGCTGAGGTGGACACTGCCCGAGATGCCTCCTGACGAGCCAGGAGGGTCAGCGCAGCACCCACCCCGGGTGCCCTTTCCTGAAACTGTCTAGGATGTCACAATTCAGTGGCTGAGAATGAGTAATTTCTGAGGCTTGGAGACCAGTACAAGCAGCCAGGCAGGTTTCTTTTCACCAGCATTTTCCCCACAGGCCTGCCTCCTAAGGGACAGGAGAGAGGGCTAGGGGGCAGGCCTGCAGAGGATGGCTGACTCCTGCCACCGCCTTGTCTCAGACTCCATGGCACACTGCAGTCCAGGGTCTCCCCCCGGCCGCCCTCTTAGTGAGGGCAAGTGGCTCCAGGAGTGGGGTGCTGGCTAGAGGGCACTGGGTTCTTGGGGTAGGGGTGGGGAGCATCCTCTGGCTCAGGCTGCAGCCTTGCAGCCAGGCCCATGCCTAAGCCTCGGGCATCCCTGCTCAGAGGAAAGCTGCCTGCCGGAGGAAACACGGGCTGCTCTCTCTTCTACTTCCTGAGTCCCCTCCCAGTTGGGTCCCTCTGAGGGCCCACGTCTCCAGTGCTCTGGTTCTTAACACAGCCCCATGAGAGCATTTCTGGACCTTGTTCAAAGAGGAGTCTGGAGAACCTCTTCAACTACCATAGGTTTCCTGATTTAGCATTTTAAAAGATTTTCCTGTTACCGGGGAAACCTAGAATCCCAGAGCAAACCCCACAGACCAGACCTCTGCTCCCAGCCAAAGCGGCTAGCCCAGAGAGGATGCTTTCCTGTCAGCCCGGGGAAACGACTCACAGTGGACACAGCTGGCCAATTTGTATTCCACAGGCATCCGCAGGAACAGACGGGGATGGAACCGAGGCTGATGGAAAAAGCAGTCAAGTCTAACTACGTACCTGAGCTTGTGAAAATAAACTGGCAAAGATTTGAGTTGGGGGGGGGGGGCAGTGGGGAGAAACAGATACAAGTAGCATTTAAAATAGCTCTTTGATCTTTAAACTTTCTCTAATTCAACAATGTAATCCAGTACCTGATTTTTGAGTGGAGATGCCTCAGCCAGACTGTTCTTACAAGGTGATGAAAACTAAATGCATTTTGGATTGATTTTTCCGAAGATCTCCAAGGCCACCATCTACGGCAGGGGAGAGAAGAACTGTGCTATGGAAACCTGCTGAGCGGGACCCACGACAAGGAGGGGAGGGAAAGGGGGCATTCCAGGCTTCGCCCAGGATCGAGGTGGCCTGGAGGCCAGACAGCCACAACCTGTGTTTGTGAGAAAGACCTTCCAGAGAGAGAGGAAGAAACCACCACACTACTCCTTCCTTTAAAAATTTTAAGTATCTCTGGTTGAATCTTACCTGTTATTTTCTGTTCCAAGGGAGGCTCTAAGTGCTAGGAGATCCGTTTCTCCTAGAGAGCTTCCCCATCTGCCTGCAGCCGTGGTGCACGGTCATCACCCTCGGGGTCCTGGAGCCGCCTGCAGGGGTGAAAGGACAGCGGGGCAGTGCAGGTGCCCACCCCACTGCTCAGAGGGCCAGCAGGCAGCGAGCTTAGTGGGCAGAGGGGCCCCAGGCCTGAGCGGGACTGTGCTGACCTTCGCTCGTGCGGGTGGGCCAGGTGACCCAGCCGATCACTCCTGCGGCCTCTGCGTTCTCTGAGCCCGTGGCCAGTTTACTACTGTGTCCGCCCTGTCAGATAAGCAGAATGACCTGTGGCCAGAGGCACAGAATGCTGTACGGCCGGATGACATCTAGGCCCCTCGCCCACTCCTGGTCACTGAGTCTTGTTCCCGATGATCACACACCATGTGCAGAAATAAGTCTCAAAAGAGAACACCGTGAGTGTCCTACATCCAGGCCTCCCGGGACTCAGAGCGGAGCACCGTGCTGTTGGGGTCCAGCCGAGGGCAGAACACTGGGCTCTGAAGCGGCTGCTCGCCCAGGCCCTGCCCGGTGAGTGTGCAGCCACCTGGCAGGGGGGAACCGTGGCCCGTTGTCGCAACAGCAGGCCGTCTCCAAGTCCCTGCCACGAGGGAAACTTGGACCTCAGAAAGAGGGCCATTGGCTGCAGAAGCCCGAGAGGGAGAAGGGTGCCCACTGGGTTAGGGGAGCCATGCCACAGGCAGCAGCTCTCCGGGCACCCAAAGACCAGGCCAGCACTTGCCCTGGGAGGAATCTTAACTTAAGCCCCTTAGCAAAGACCCCCTGATGCTCACAAACAGAAGAATGTACTTTTCCAAAAATGGTTGAAGTGCAACAGAGCTGTGTATTACCTGGGCGGGCCCTGAGCATGGACCCCTTCGAAGAAGCCTATGTCCAAGCTGCTGCATGAGCTGAAGGTGCTTCCTGGTAGCTTCGGGGTCATAGCGCACAGGTGGAGGAGCAGCCCGTCTGCAGCATGACCGGAGATGGCAGGTCCTGGGAGCCGGGTCCTGGCACTTGGACCTGCAGCCTCTCTGCTCCCCAGGCAGACTATGGGAGTCCTCGTTTCCATAAATTCAAATAGAGTCTCCTCTCCAGCCTGGAGGCTGTTCCTCCCCACAAAGGCAGTTTCCTGCTTCCACCAAATTAACATCACATCTAATACCCGCGTCCTTTTCTCTTAAAAAAAAAAAAACCAGAAGGAAACACACACCCTCTCCACCAGCCCTATCTTGAGACCTAGGCAGTGTCCCATGTCCTTTCTCATCCCACCATCCCCACAGGGTGTCTGCAAGGCCTCTCTCACTGGTGCTCCTACATTGGACACACGGGCCCCAGGCCTGCGCCTCATTCTCCTGCCCTCTGACATCCCCAGGAAAGGAGGAATATCATTTTGGAGAAATAAACACTGTTAACAAATGAAAGCCTACCTAGTGTCTGTTTTTGAGTCAGGGAAGGAGCTGGAGCTCTGTGCCAGAGGACTGTATTTAGAACAAACCTAAAGCCCATCATAACAATGGAAACCTTTTCAGGAAAACAGGCAGTTGGCAAAGACAGCGAAGACCATAAAATATAAACAATGTGAAGTAAACTACCCTGGTTCCTTTCACAAGTGTGGGGTCAGCAGTAAGGCAGGTAAAGCCTACACTGTGTACGGAGAGCTTCCCAGGCTCCAAAATGTGGGAAAACAGTTGGAAAGGCCCATCTGGCCAGGCTGCTGGGTAGAAACGAGAGGAAAAGCTGTTTGTGAGGTTTCTGCTGGTTGGGAGTTAGAACTGCCATTTCCATTCGTGCTATGAAAAACACAAAACCAAATGTACTACTCCTGGGAACACAACAGAATGACCTTTTTTAGGGGATGTAGGGGAACCAGAAAGGAGAAACATTTAATCTTATAACTTTCCTGAAGGGATGCCTGGGTGACTCAGTGGTTGAATGTCTGCCTTTGGCTCAGGTCGTGATCCTGGGATCCCTGGGTCCTGGGATCAAGTCCCGTATCAGGCTCCCCAGAGGGAGCCTGCTTTTCCCTCTGCCAATGTCTCTGCTTCTGTCTCTCATGAATAAATAAATTTAAAAAATCTTTCCTGAAGCAAAGGGAAAAAAACCCACATGGCTCAACAAATTGTTCTTACAAAGAACAATTTAATAGACAGGAGGTTGAACCAGACTTAAAGTGGACCTATTAGGAGTGGTGCAGGCTGTACAAACTCTAGTTTATAAGTACTGACTGGAAAAGAGGGTGGCCTGCACCACAAAACCCCATCGTGGTGGAGGCAATTTGGGCTGCTGCTGAGAAGGCACACAGGAAGAACAATACCCAGCAGAAAGGATGGGAACAGTGGCTTAGCCCTTGAGGAGAAACCGTGCTCTCTGCAGCTGGTGCTGACTTAGCTGGTGCTGACTTAGCCACGGGCATTAAGGAGGGAGCCATCAGGGTACGAGAACTGCTCAGAGTCCCAGGACTGCCCTCACCGGCCCCCACCAGCTCTTTGCAACAAGAGCTCCCTAATGCAATACAATTATTACACAGTTACATTCTGAAGAACATTTTGCATTTTAATTAAAAAAAATTTACGTCAGGAAATAGTCATTTACAAACCTTGAAGTGTTTTTGCCTGGATCTGGAGTAAGAATGTCTTAAGAAGAGGTTTGTAAGGTCTTCATAACAAAGTCTTGTTATTTACAAAAAACAAAAACAAAAACAAAAACAAAAAAAAACCCAAAACATTAACAGGTTGCCCAGGTAATATTTAAAAATTTTGAACCCAAAACTGCTAATTATCTTTTTTTGACCGCAGGGAATCCCTGCCAAGGTAAATTGACAAAGTCGGCATGATTCTTTGAACAGAAAAGGAAGCCTTGGTGGGTCTAATGGTCCAAAAGTGGGTTTTCATCAGGAAGTACAATCGGAGTGTGAGTACGTTCTAATGAAAACTTCAGCCCTCATTCAGTTGCATATAAAAGCCCTCAAAGAGAACACACAGTACAGCAGTGTTTTGTAAAAAGGCAACAGTACAACTTGGACAGACCCGACGTTCCCATCCCGCAGAGCATCGCTGTGCCCCTCCACCCCCTTCCCCAGCACCCCGATTTATGACAAGCAGCAGCGTCCGTCCTCAGGGAGCAAGGGCAGAGGAACTTCATTCACCTGTGTGATAATTTCTACACCAGAGATGCGAAAATGTCTTGTGGGGGTAGCTGAGGTGCCATTGTGAATGCCACAGGGTCAGAGTAACCAGCTTGACCTACGCAATGAGCTTCTCGGAGGGCTAGTGAGAGAAAAGACAGTTGTAACCCATGGTGGACCAAAGGTACACTATCAAATCCTAGAACTCTTGCTCAGAGCAAAGGCTGTTAAACATCTGGTATATCTTGTTGTAAAGGTAGATTCAGAGTGACTCAAAATATTTTAGAAAAAAATCTAATGTCAAGTTCTTTTGAACTTGAAATTTCATCCCCAAAAGATTTTCATTGAATGAATGAGAATTGGCTCTATTTCTTCTACTTCTGTACAGCCCGAGTAAAAATGCTAGTAAATTTCTAGGTTTCAGTGGGGAACTACAATTATTAGGACCCATGGATATTGCTGCAGTTCAAATACGGTACAATAATTACAAAATATAGACCATCTCTTTACAAATACAAATTATAGTATATTACAAGTCATGTACAGTAAATCTATAATTTTTAAACAAACTAGCGTATCTAAGTTTACCTGGTTGCGAGTGCATGATTATTCCAGTTTACAGTTGCCCTTAAGCTGCCAGTCCAAAACCGACTGAGTGACACTCTTGTAAACTGGGGTCACAGAACAGAAAACCTCATGTATGAGGTCCTGCTCCCCTCTCCAGATGACGGCTGGTAGGTAGGTCCTGACTCACACACTGCATTTCAAAACGGCTAAACAGAAACCAGGAAGCAGTGTATTTGGGGGGATGGGTTTAAAAATGGATATGCTGGGCCCAGTGAATGTCTGATATGCTAGACCGATGGCTGAGGTAATGACACAGGTGTGGTGATCGTCATCACCTTGACCTTCCCCACCGTGCCAGCAGGTAGGTGGGTGCGGGCGAGTGCCCCGGGGGCGCCCTGGACGAGTGGGCCGGGCTTGTCCCACGTCCTCGTCCTCTCGGGTCCTCCCCAGGAAGGCTGGACCTGCTGCTTCCCACAGCTGGGGCTGGGCACGGGTGCACGGCTGTTCCCTACCAGGTTTATGGCTTCCTTGAGGCATGACATCACTTGTACAAAAGTCTAATTGAATACGGACTCCACACTAGTGCCTAAACTTTCCTAACTATGAGGCACTTTTTTCCTGGCCCTCCGGCGCCCCACCTGAGGCCAGAGCCAGTCTGCCCCTCCCTGGGGGCTACAGGGTGGTGATGCATATCATTTCATCTGCCAGGTCCTCCTCATCTCTTCCGAGGTCAGGCTCCTCATCGCTGTAGCCCGGCCCAAAGTCCTGGAGCTCATAGTCCTGCCGGTGTGAGACAGGGCCCACGCCCCCGTTAGCCCGGGGATGCACAGTCCCATTGAGCAGGTTGCTGGCTGCACTCTCCATCTCATCGATGGTCAGGTCACAGGCATCGGCGATTTCGTGTTTTGTTGCCGATACAAATTTTGGGTCCCTTGCATACCGTCCTAAGCCTTCGGATATCAGGACCTGTATAGGACAAAAAAACGAACGGCATAAAAGTGTTAGAAGGCTTTGCAGGGAGAAGCGCACAGGAACCACCTAAAGCACAAACCGCACGATGTACTTCTGGGACTCAGCCAATCGTGTCTGCTAGACCTCACACATGACAGTTAAATGTAAATGGCTTTGAAACATCACAGAGTTCCAACACTACATGTGGCCCAACAAGAGTAGTAGTATTTGCAGGCCCGGCACCTGCAATCCTAGGTGCAGCTCCTTTATGAGAACTGGCAGTGGCAGTATTTTTATACTCTTGCTGTAAGTACCATCTTTGTATCCAAGGAATGGGCGCTGTCCAGAGGAAAAGGGGCACACTTGGGTCCCAGAGCCCCCCCCGCCCCCCCGGCCTCAGAACTTCCACTGCCCCTGCAGGTCCCCCTCTGCTATGCCAGAGCCTGCCCATCCTGGCATCCTTGGGGTGGAGTGGAGCATACTCACTGCCTCCACCAAGCTGTCTGCACTCCTCTGCTTGTCACTGTTTTTGTTGCGGAAGCTGCTGGGGACAGTCAGGCTGGCTGGTGTGAAAGTTCGGTATGAAATGCCGGGCTCGTCCGTGTACCATGAGCTTCGGTGCAAGGATGGAAGGCTGCCGTTGACCTGGTCCAGGGCCTCTGGCCGCTCCACCTGGATCAGGGGCGCGTAGCACGGTGTCCAGTCTCGGTACGGAGGGGTCGCTGGAGGGGTGGCCCACGACCGGGTTGAGTGGCTCGGCGAGTACTTCTGGGCTTTACTGGAATCCAGGCCCGCAACTGCCATGATCTGGGGAGAGATGAGAGGTGGCAGGGTCAGAGGTCCTCAGGAGCAAACCCCAGGCCTCCTCACGCAGACCAAGCAGGAGACATGGCTGCAGAGGGGCAGCCTTGTACAGGGACTTGAAGAGGACACAGGCAGTGAAATCTGGCTTTCTGGCAGACTAGTTTTGGTTTTCCCAAATCCATAATGCACTTCTTAGGACTGTTCCTAAGCAGGAATCAGCTGCTAATTTGTCAAACTGCCACCAAGCAGTGGAGAATTAGTGAAGACATTTCTTTACCTTGTGGTGTATGGTGTATGAACATACCACCCCGTTCACTCTAGGTTCAAATACAGTACACTCGGGGCAAACGAGACATTCCCAGCCCTCAGAAGGAACACAGCTGGTTCTCTTGACTCTAGTGCAATTCATCACACCAGCAGGCATCTGGTCTGCTCTGAAGCTCTGGGCACAAGCCCTGCTTCCCCCACCTACAGCTGCACCACAACAGATTGGCCCCAGCATTCCCTCTCTGCACGGAGGGCCACGATGGCCCGTGGCCCAACCAAAAGCCACGACCACCTGAGGGAGGCAATGCAGGCACAGAGGTGTCCTCAGCGGGACAGCACAGGGAAGAGCGTTTTCATGCACGTGCCCACATAGACTGCCATGCCTAGTTGGTTTGTGGCATTTGATGGCTGGGCCTTCCCAAGCTTTGCCCTCTCACGATAAAGCAGGGCACAAATAAGAGCTAATACAAAAACTGAAGGCAGGAAAGTAAAAAATTGGCAGAGAAACCTGGAACAGAACACATGCTCAGGATGCTGGCGGTGAGCTACCTAGGCGGTGAGCTAGCTCTGCAAATTTACAGACTGGGTGTTCCCTGCATGCTTTCCTGCCCCTGACACATGTACACAGTGGGTGGCATCTCTGATGTGCTCTTCTTAGAAAGAAAAAGTACCATATTCTTGTCCTTGAGGCAAGCCCCTGGTGAGTGGGCTGCAGCCCCACCCTCCCTCCAGCCCCTGAGCTCCTACCTGTCACACTGTGGATGGGTCCTTCTCCCTGGACCACCATCTTTCCTTGCGGCCTAGGCTCACCCACCCCTGTGACCAGAGGGCCCTGCGCGCAAAGGGCTCCACAGACATGTTTTAATGAAAGGAGAGCATCTCGGCAAATAAAGGGCAGCACTGATTATTCAGGACCAGGCAAGCGACCACCACTCCCTGGGTCAGGGATTGTACTAGGCCGCATCGTCAATGCCCCAGAGAGAACACAGTGTGCACCCAAGCCAAGAGCCCAGCTTTGGAAGCTGGCGGCCTAGGATGCCTTTGTCAACTCGGTCACACACCTCCTGTGTGAGCTTAGGCATGTCACCTACCCTCTCCCCTGATATTTGCTCATTTGTGAAAAGGGGGTCGGAATAGTATCTGTTTGGCAAGGTTGCTATAGGATGGAGCCAGAGTGTCTGTGAAGGTTCTCCCCTTTTTTGCTTCTGCTGCTGGCAGCCAAAGAGAAGGGGGTGTCTGGAGGGCGGGGTCCACAGGGTACCCGTCAGGCACGTGGTATCAAGGCCACACAGGGCGGCTCACCTGTTGCTGCATCAGGTGCAGTGGCAGGGCTGTGCGGTGGGGGAAGGTGGGGGACAGCGGTACCTCCTCCTGGCTGCTCTGCCGGCGCAGGCACTCAAAGTTGAAGGAGGATCTCCGGTGCGCTGAGAAGTGAAGCACACCAGCAGTCGTGAAACAAGCGCTCTGTGGGGGCCCCAGGGCTCTGGGGTCAGGGTGGCCCACTGGACACTCAGCAGGGAGCCCGAGAGGAAGCAAGCGATATGTCCCAGGAAGAGCATTAGGCAGTGAGGTCTCAGAACTTTGGGAGGCTGAAGAAACTGCCCAACTGAGGGGGTGTTTTTAGTTAAGTGCAAGTTGGCTTCTTGTACAAGTAATGCCTGTTATCACAGGGCATAGCTAAAGGCTCCAGAGAGCAGCTGCTCTGACTTGACACCCCTGGTCCTGTACACACATTGTGGGGACCACAGCACTTCAGGTCTAGAACACAACGTCATTCTAGAATCCTACAACACCTGCTGCCGCCTCCCCCCGCCGCCCCCAAAGGCATCTTAAGAGTCTCTGGGGCCCACGGCATCTTGCTGCTGCTCCCGTTCTTCTACCTGCTTCAAGGGGAGTGACTTGCTATAACTGAACCAGGTAAGAAGCGAGTTCTTTTGTTGGGAAAGACCCAGCTCCTCTAGCACTGAAGGCAAAAACAGAAAACACCTCTAATGTTAAAGAACACAACTGTCCTGTTAACAACCACTCAAAATAGAGGCTGGTGCACAGGCTGAGCAATGACAAGAGATCCAAAGTTTGTGGCTTCACAGGACACAGGGCCCAGGGGGTCCTGAGTTCTGGGCCCCAAGCACAGGCCAGGGGCTCTGTTTCCCCTGGGAACAGGTCTACCCTTGAGGGCGTTGGCGCTGGAGAAAGGGCTTGGGGCCTTACTGACAGTTTGCAAGGCAGGAGCCAGGTCTCTTCAGCTTCTGCTTCCTAAGATCCCAGGGCATTTCTCCTGCTTTGGCAAAACACACCCCTAATTCCCATACTGGAAAACCATAGGGGTGGGTGAGCCTCCCAGGCCTCCTAGAAGTCACATGAAGCTGCAGGAACCGGGTTCTGTGAGAGCTCTAGTCTAAAAGTGTAAGAAGACCAGGCTGAGCCATTGACTGGCCCTGCCCAGTGTGGGGAGAAGAGACAACGGCCCTGGCCACCCGGGCTTGAGGTGCCCCTGTGGGGCGTGCTGGGCCTCCTCCTCCTCCTCCTCCTCCTGGAGTTGCCTAGGTGGGACATGGACAGCTGCATGACACCTGCTATCCCCATCAGACATCCTGTCCTCCCTGCACCACACAGGGAGGGCAATGTGTCCTAAGGGGGATACCCTAAGGGAGATGGGCCTCCCTCGTTGGCACTCCCTCTAGAACCCTCTCAGGATCAGAGGGCAGGGGCCAGAGGCTGGGAGCCAGGAGAGGAAACCACCATCTCTCTCATTCCAGTAGTGCCTTGCGGTTTTGAAAATCCATGTAGACACTGATCATCTCATCTGCTGTATGCAACCGACGCCGGCAGACGAAGTAATCTCATTTTTGCTGAGAACACAGGCTGAAGGTTTCCAGCTTCTCCCTGCCCAAGGTCTGAACCGATGAGCAGCAAAGCAAATAAAATTTATTTGCCCTTACAAATAAAGAGGCCCGCTCTCTGCTCCGCTCTGGCCCGCTCAGGTTCTTTGCTTCACTAGGGCAGTGCCCCTGAATGGTGGGCATTAATGGGGCTACCGGAGGGGACACAGGGAGATCCAGGTGGCGCAGTGGCACTCCCTGGGCAAGGGGCCTCTGCCTGGCCTCACTCGCCTGTGTCACCCAGTATTCACGGAGCTCAGAAGTGCTCTGTTCAGCATGTGTTTGGGGCTGAATTAAATATTAACTAAGGAAATGGTGTCTCCTGCGACAGCCGGAGAGGCAGGGGGCCCCTGGCGCCATCCAGCTGGACTGGTTATCACACACAGAGTTAGCCGACTCAGAGCCAATGTGTCTGGGCTACTTGTGGTTACTGATTTAGAGCCCTGCTCGAGTATGTGCTTCATTCCTCAAAACAGCAGGACTGGATGTTCTTGAACCACCACCAAAATGCCCACATGTGCACAATCCAACTGCCTGGCCAGGAGCTGGCAAAGGCCACTGCTACGTTTCTCACCCCGGCCCAGGTTCCTCACTGGGGGTGAATCAGATCTCTGGGGGACTGCTTAGGCCACCTGCTTAAGGAAAACAGGTGGGGAACAGCTACCCCGGCCCCCACCTCTTCTCTAGCAGGATGGGTCTCCTCCAGCCCCCGGGGGGAGGGGGAGCGCTGACCCAAAACCTGCCCTGTGAGCAAGGGCACTAGCTGACGCCTGGCAGAGATGAGAGCCGAGGGGTGGAGAGGGTGGGTGAGAGGGGAACTCTCTGGTGGGGACTGAGGAGACATGGACAGACACCAAGAGCTCCCAGGTGCACCTCGGAGGCATGGGGCTTGGTGGGACAGGCCTAGGATGAGGTCCAGCTCCGTGCCAGGGCCGATCCCTTCTGCCCTCTGAGGGTCAGTCACCCCATCCACGGAGATAGCCTGACGACAACACGGTGCACATGGTGACTACCTCGCAAGAGGGACTCTGGGCTCAAAGAAACGAAAACAAGCACAAAAAGCCCCTTATCAGATGCCACACGCTGTGCACGTTTGGGACCACACGCTGCCTTTCTCTGTTCTCAGAGAGTCAAGACCACCACTGAAGTGCTTTGAGCTCCATCACGCGGCACACAGACGAGGCAGAAAGGAAAGCCACTAGGGTCTCCGACCAGGGATCTGGTCTGGAGGACCGGGGTCCCTAATGCAGCAGGATCACAGCTGTCATGCTTCCTCGGGGCCGGGGCCGGGGGAGGCACACACTGTTCTCTGGGAGGCTTCACCCAAAACAAAAAATCTGGCCTCACATGTCGGGGTGGGAGGTAGTAGGCGTCTCCTTGGAGATCTCCGGGAGTCATAGCAAACGGGCGAGTCGTCATCCTCCAAGAAGCCTTGGGGGTGATGGTAGCCTCGGGGCCGCTCGAAGTCCCAGCTGCTGCCCGGGTATCGGTTGTAGTAGTTGTAGCTCTGCCTGGCGGTCAAAAAGGCCAAAAGAGAGGGTGAGGGGCACATGCCAGCCTCGCTAGCAAGCCCCGTCGCTTAGCTTAGACCCACGGCGACAGTCCTCTCCCCACCATTCCTGGACACCCTGGACTGGCTGAGAGCAAGGCAGTCAGTCCTCAGCTTCATGGAAGATTCGGGGCCCTGGGAGAAGCTGGTCTGAGAGAGCAGTCCCCTCCCCCCGCCTCTCCGCCCGGGGCCAGCCACCTGGGACACGGGTGGGCCCTCACTTCCAGGACAAGGGGCCACGTCCTGAGGTCGGCCCGAGCCGCAGCGCTGCTCACCTGCCCCCGGCCGGAGAGCCCACATCCTCATAGCCCTCCTCGCCGCTGAAGTACTCCTGCTCCTCCAAGCAGCGGGCGTCCCTGAAGTACCCGTGGGGCTCCGGATCCTCTCGGCAGATGGTTGGGAACTGCTCATCTCCCGAGTCAGATCTGCAGTTGTGACACAGGCCCCGAGCACCTGAGCCCCTGAGCACGCAGGCAGACGCTTCCTGAGCCGGCCTCGGTGTGCTGCTAGCACCCCTGCCCCCACGTGCCCCTGGCTTCTCCCGGGGGGACCTGGGACTGGACTCTTCAGGCCTCTGGCGGTGGTGCCGTGTGTGTGAGCGTGTGTGTGAGCATGTGTGTGTGCTGGGAGAGGGTGCATCTCTCAGTACCTTGCACAATGCTCGTGCCAAACCACTCTCCCCGAGGGCCATGGAGTCAAAGAGGAAGGTGTGATTTGGGGAACAGAACAAGGAAATGGACCTAGAGGCCACAGCGATCAGCAGTCCTGGAGAGAAAATGCTGGGCTCCCCGGCCACCTACTCTGATCCTTGTTCCTTCTATTCTGGCTCGTGTGACTTTAGGATCTGGAACAAAGGAGCTCCCTTACCAGTTTCCCACTGCCTCTGTCCCAGGAAATATGACAGGAGTCTGGGATCCTGGGTCCCAGGGGAGACTCACACCCGTGACACTTGCCAATTTTTCAAAGCCTGCTGTGCCCACATGGCAAGACTGTCGTGCTATCTCCCTGAAAGCCCTTAACCTGGCTCCAGTCCTCAGGAAAACCAGCTAAGCTCTGTGACATCAACTCTTTCCAAAGAGATGACTGTGCCCCCTCCAAGTTCTCCACTCTCTCAGGTTGCTCCTGAGCAGCTGGTTACACTTAATTAAGCCAAGAGACTTAGTCTCTCTGTCCCCAAGAAAATGATCATTCTTACAATTCAACCCTGTTCAGCAAATACGGAGTAGGATACACTGCACATATGTTGAGGACTATGGAGAAGACTACGGAGAAGGCCCAGTCCCTGGTCTTCAGGAGGTTGGGGTCATACTCTTACGAAGCCCCCATAAGAGGCTTGAACCCAGACAGCAGAGGCAGTGCCAGCCTCCCAGGGGAGTATACAGTAGGCTCTCCCTGCACAGTCATGAGGCATGTAGGGGCTAGCCCTTGGGCATGCTGGCATGTGAGTATTAGCTCTTAGGTGAGAACAAAGTCTGTGCGTATATGGACCTGAACGCTCCTTTGCTTAGAAAGAAGCAACTACTGGGGCACCTGGGTGGCTCAGATCATGATCTCAGGGTTGTGAGATCGAGTCCTTGCATCAGGCTCTGTACTCAGCAAGGAGTCTGCTTGAGATTCTCTCCCTCTCCCTCTGCCCCACCCCTCCCCACCCCTGCTCACATACATGCACTCTCTAAAATAAAATAAATAAAATCTCAAAAAAAGAGAAAGAGAGGGGAAAAAAAAGAGAAAGAGAGAAGGAAATCAAAAAGCAACGACGTCTGCCTCTGGAGTCCACGGCCCCAAGCTCCACTACCCTATCAGGTTGTTGCCTCAAAGGATGTTCTCATCCCTCTGCACTTGGAGGCCAACTGGTTACACTTACAACACAGAGTATTTAACACACAAACACAGGCGATGAGCACATACCTAATGTAAGTTTCATAATAGCGGGTTCTATCCAGGAAAGGCATAACATGGGAGGGAGGGAGGGAGAAGATAAAAGTTAAATATTTCCAATAAAATTTAAAATGCAGATATCAGGCTAGTTCCTAGAGCAGAGAGCAGCCAGCTATGGTTTACAGGCCATTATACTGCCCATGAGCTATGAACAGTTCTTAATACTTTTAAAAGACAGCAAAGAAAGAAAAAAATTGAAGAAAAACGTCCCATTTCATCACATGGGACTTATATGAAGTTCACACTGCGGTGTCTGTAAATAAAGTTTAAAGGTTTATTGGGACACAGCCACCCCCACACATTTACACACGCTGTCTAGGATTGCTTTCTCTCTCCAACGGCAGAGCTCGGCCGCTGCTGTGGAGCCTGTGTGGTGGCCGGGGCCTAAAATATTTACCATCTGGCCCTTTACAAGACAAAGGTTGCCGGCCCCTGTCCCACGGTATGTTGGCACCACTGGGGAAGGTAGAGTTTACGGCAACTACTGCTGTTTTAAGGAGCGGCCCCTCTGGCAGGGCACAGGATAGCTCATGGCCCTCCATCCTTTGGGTTCATCACTGGCTAGTGCCTGACGAGGCCCATGAGCTCACGGCACTCGCAGGTTCACGTGCAGATGCCTCCTCAGAGTCTCCTGTGTGTGCCAGAGCGGGGGGGGGGGGGGGAGAAAGCCACGCCTTGGGGAGACACTACATCACCAAGTGCAAACACATTTTAAAGGTTACCTTTTAATACTGGACCTTCTTTGAGGCTCCCGGTCATGCTTGTGGGAGGAGTGATGCCCATTTTCAGACATATGCTCAAGGTTCCCAATGCTGGGCCGCTTTCCAGGGGCAGCTTTGGACATATTGGCATTATTGAGATTGGCATTTGTTGAGCTGGGAGCTTGCTTTCCTACGGAATTATGGTTATGATGGCTATGACACCCCGAATTTCCTGCTGGAGGAAACAGCGGTCTCTCAGTATCACTTGCAGGTGGAACTGAAGGCCTTTGGACATGCAGGGGACGGTGGGTGGTATTGGTCTGCTGAAGGGGGTCTCTCCTATCACTATTAACATGATTGACATGGTTTCCAAGCAGGGCACCATTTCTCTGCAAAATAATGGGAGACAACACCAGGTAATTTAACAAGTATTTGATGCAGGCTAGCTTTGTTAGGTAATTTTTTCTACACGAAAAACAAATTCTAGGTAAGCTCCGTAGGATCCCTGTAAAACAATCTGAGTGTCTCACAGATCAGGGTGGATGTGTCTGTGTGGCAGCCGGTCCCCCTGAAATGAGGAAGGTTACCGATCCCTGAGTGGGGAGCCAGCTCTCGGCTGTCACACGAGTGTGCTCTTCCAGTCGCTCCAAGTTGAGGTGACTTACACCCAGCAGGGCAGGCTGGCAGCCCCCAGCGGTTGAGGTTGGACAGGAAGCACACCCTCTGGGCTGGGAGGGGGCTGAGGGCCAGCTGGCAGATCAAAGAGTTGGCCCAGGGAAGAAGGGGGGAACACAGGCGGGCAGCGGCTAGCAGGCCTCAGGATGCTCAGCCACACTGGCCGAGCGGCTGTGGCCAGGCTCCTCTGAAGCGGCCAGCGTGGGACAGAGGGGCCAGCTCAGGAAAGCAGCAGGCCCGGCCCCAGAGGAGCCTTCAGCACGAAGGTCTGCTGTGGGGAGAGCATGGTCCAGAAGCCCCTCTAGGCCCGGGAGCTGGCGTGCATTCTCCAGGTTCTTTTGTGGATCACCAACTGCCCAAATTGAAGTCCTGCCCCGCTATTTCCAAGTGGCCAGTGTGTAGCTAGGCGTGGAATAATTACTTTGAATCCATCTTCTTCTTCTTCTCGTTTTGTTTCCTCCGGCTCGTCATCTTGCAAATCACATGATATAGCACGCCGGATTTCTGGCCCAATGTCATGCAGTGTCCTTAATCCTGCCTAGATCAACAAAAATGGCAAAATGGATTAGACAACGTGGGCGTGCTGGGCTCGGCCTGGGTCCTGGCTCTGCTCCTGCCTGATTCAGCTGTGGGGAGGGAAGGTTTCTCCAAAAGGCAACCCAGGGAAGTGACTGCTCGTGTGAGTGTAATTGAGGGGTCCCTGAAGCCCCAGGGTTAAAGGGTGTGGTCAGGAGTTCAAGCTGGTCCCCTAGACTGGGGTGCTTGAGGCCTTCCACCCAGTCTCCTCCTCCTCACATACCCCCACTTGCAGGGAACAGTGTCTGCCGTGGCCGAGAGCACAAGCCCACATCTAAATGATAGTCTATAGAATGTGGCCTGCAGGGTCCTTTCCCAGAGCCCCAGTGGGGGCAAGGAACACAACCCGGCCATTCTATAGGGAGGGTGGCAGGGACTCACCGGCTGTGACCTAAGTACAAGTGTGAGGGGGCAAAGCAGACCCGCAGCCTTCGGGGCCACTGGTTCTGCAAAAAAAAGCCATGGGAACGAGGGAGTGACACCACACACTGCAATCACCAGCACATTCAGGACCATGACAGAATGAGTCGACACACACACAGACCTGGGCTGCTGTGCAGCGCCAGCCTCCATGGCCATCCGTGATGCCCTGGCCTGGAACCTGGTGTTAGGCCAAGAACTTGCCAACAGTTGGATCATCTTAAAGACCACAACACATTGAAAGGGGCTCATCAGCCCCTGGGGGCTGTGTGGGACCCACCAGGTGACCCCTCACAGACATATTCCTTTGCCTGAGCCCTCACAGTTGGCCTTCCTTACACTGGGTCCCGGGTTCCACTGGAACAGGCCCTGGGAGAAGCCCTTCTGTTATTCCCAACTTTGTTAGGGAAACTTTAAAGATGTTTACACTACACGCACGGGGAGGTGGAGTTGTTGGCTCTGAGAAAATTATGTTTTGAGCACCAACTTGAAGAAAAATACCATGCTGACCTAAAGACTAATAACAGGGACAGTACACCTACTTTATCTTTTTCCACAAAAGGACTGACATCTCAAAGTGGCATTTCCTCCCTGCCCCCAGACCTAAGCCCACCTGTCTCATATCCGGGCAGGACCCCCTCATTTGCTGGCACTCCCTCTGCAACTCAGCAGCCACACTGGCGGGTGCCTGAACCCTGGCTGTACAGGGCTGCACCTGCAGCTAATGCTCTGTATCACGGAAGACTGTGGGGGACAACTGGGCCTACAGGTGGGGCATCAGGGGACCCCCAGTAGTGGGGAGTGGGGAGGGTTGGGGTGGAGATGGTGGCCACAGTTTGGCTGGGTCCCACAGGGCTGGTCCCGCTGGTGTGGGAATGCTCAGAACCAGTCTTCTGCCATTGTTAGTGGCAGTGAAAGTAATTTAGAGTGTAAAATCCTACAGGAACTTCCTAAGAGGCTCCTGTGAAAACAGCCTCCTCCATAGGAGACAATGCTGTTAAAAATGGTACACCAGGCTAGGTCTGGTTTGATCCATTCTTTGACTAGAGGGGCAGGGGTGGGGGCTTTCCATTTCATAAATGGTGGGTGTGAAAGAGCCACTGGGATTCAGAGCTCTCAGGTTCCTGGCTAGGAAAGCTGTGGTCTTGTCAGGGAAAGACACATGTGTCCTGCGACCAAGTCCAGAACAGTCCATGGTATGGTCAGTGAGGCTGCCTCTCACTCTCCTGTCCCTCTAACCCCAGCACAAGCTGCACACGCACATGCATACACACTTACGGATGCACACACACACCTGCTTTCCCTCTCGCAAGATCCCCGAATCTGGCACACCTGAGCCAGGGGAATCATCTGCTTGGACGTGGACCCACTTGCCATCCTCTTGGAAACATCGAGAAGGTGGCGCTAAGGTCAGGTGGGGGAGGGCTCTTTCACACAGAGCTTCAGGTGTGCGCAGGACGGTCAAGCCCAGCGGCGTCCAACAGTGTTTTCCAGAGCTCGGTCGTCAAGGGAAGATTAGCTAAACCAGGGTTTCACTGTCTGGTTCTGGATCACCGGGAGGAAAGGCTGGCCACAGATCTGAGGCTCCCAAATCAAAGACCAGGTTTGAGACACCTGCTGCCGTGTCCACAAAGTAAACACAGGCGACAAGCACTAAGTCAACACCCCAGGTAAATTATGTATATGAACCCATGTCACGAGGCACCACGGGCTTGGAATACCCCTGAGTTTGAAACACAGCAGATGATCCTATTCACTGTCATTCAACAATTTGGACTAGGTCCGATTAAAAGAAATAGAAAACTATTTATTTGGATAATTTTTAACATCATCCTCTGTTGGCGGGTTGACATTTCACTGAAATACACATATAACAGAATTGCATAATAAAAACAAAAACGGTCTCCACGTCTTCAATGGTACACAAGATCAGGAGAGTGCGGTGAACAGACACAGGACAGAGAATTTGTTTGCAACAGAAATCATGGAGAAAACTGAGAGGTGGCTCAAGAGGCCCCTTCTGAGGACAAATAATGACAACATATTCATTAAAGAGACATCGGAGGAGGATAGAAAGCATCACTCTTCCTCGACACGAAAGCAGAGGTTTAGAAATCATGGTTATGTTTTGCTTGCTCCACGCAGATAGAAACACATCCTCTAAGAGTCAGGGACTGACCTCTCTCACATGGGATCAGGGGAAGGACAGGGTGGGGGGTGGGGGGGTGCCGAGGGGTGGGGTGTCTGCCAGCTATGGGAATGAAGGAAACAGAGGTTCCCAAACTGGAACTGAAATGAAGCTTAAACACAGCACCCTGAATTTATTACATGTCACAAAACATGGTAATGAAATTTTTCTAGCACACATATCAAGCTAAAAAGGTAGCTTAGGCTGCTCCAAAATTTCCATAGGCACAAGTTCTGATCCCAGAAAACTATCTTAAACTCTCAAAAAAATTACTTTTTTTCCACAGCCCTAAAAAAAAAAAAAGAACATTTTTTTCCTTGAAATAAAGACTTTACAATCAGTAGAATGATCTATTCTTTCATTTTTCATATCTGTGTCTACCTCTATCAGCACAATACTACTTTAATTTGAAATGTGGTCATTAGCACTTAAACCAACACAATTAAAGCCGTATAAATTCATTCCATTAACATCACAGAAGTATGGTTCTGAATAAACAGAGAATTGCTATAAAATAGAAACACTTTTGATTTAAGATGTCCAATCGTATAAAATATTAAACAGAATCAAGCTTAGTTTCTGGTTGATTTTTAAATGCTAGATGGCATCGTAAATATCTGTTAAAAAAAGAAATGTTGGCGCTTTGCCTGTAGACTGCTGCTTTAAATTTTAGACACCATTTAATTGGAATTTTATATTTACTCTATAGAATGATTAAGTCACCAAAAAAAAACCCCAAAACAAACCCAAAACTACAAAATCTAAGTATCTCTGAAGCAAGAGCGTAAAAATATGGTATTTTAACATCAACTCTGAACATTCATGTACGTTCCTTCCTGTTGCCCACTTTCAGGGTAAGTCTGTCCTACCTGGGCGTGTGAGAGCTGCTGCGCCGCGGCCTTCCTAAGCTAGCTGGGGGACACCCCAGGGAGCGGCCAACTGTCCGCCGCACGGCACGCACAAACACCAGAACCCCTCCTGAACCTACCCTGCAGCAGTGGGGAGAAGACACGGGAGTCTGCGGGCACCTGGCCAGGCCATTCATCCTTGGATGCAAGCGCCAGGCTGCCAGCCTCCGGCCAAGGGGCCCCCATCTGGCACAGCCTGTTCCCCATCAGGGCCCTCGCTCGGCCAGCAGCGGCTCCTGCACACTCGCCTCCGTAAGGGCAGGTTCTGGTCGGCCCTCCCCCAGGATTCAGCCCCCCCGCCGATCATAGGTCACTGTTTCCGACTGGTTCCATCAGGAGAACGAACTGGAGGTTGAATCCTTAGAGAATAAGCCAGCTGACCCCCACTGCCTCCACATACACACATGGGCACACCCCTTCTTTTGCCCTCCTTTTCCTCCAGGGAAAAATGTGACCGTGTGTGTGGCCTTTGTGGGCGTTATGTGCAGTTCTTGAGTCATATCTGAAGGGGTTAGAGTCCTGAGCACCGCACTCCATGGGCCACCCACAGTGATTCTGACCCACGCTGAAAAGCTAGCCGTGAGGTCACTGCGTAAAGCTCCTCCTGCGGTTGCTCTCGGCAGTACGCATCGAGTTTGTGACCACCACTTTGAAAGATTAAGGACTTTTTTTAATTATCTAAAGGAATCTATGACATTTCCCTACACATGATCTCGCAGAGCTATCTGAGCAACCTTAATTCTTGGTTGAAGTTTAACACCAGAATCAGAAATTCCTGCTAGTTTCCCAATTAACAGAGTACTATTTAAATTTAAGCTCAGCAGATGCCTTAAATCATGACCTCTATTCTGTTAGCAACTTTGTGCCTGTCCTAATGATCTCACATCCTTCATCCCACTACATCCTGGGAGGCCAGGATTATCCCCCATTTGGTTGAATGGTCTGCCCTACAGAGTGAAGGTTCAGCTAGCACTCAGGTTCCCCAGGTCTCTGGTTCCCATGAAGCCCTGCTGGCCTCACCCTGACCACTGCCAAGACGTCGTTGAGTCTACGGGAAAGAGGGCTGGGATCAAGCCTGAATCGTGCACTCACTTATGACTGTGACCCCACATGTGACCTCAAGGTTAACCTCCTTCCAACTAAGAGCTCTTGTATCCCTAAGTCAACATGGAAATGCTAAGTGACCACAGGGTGTCATAAAAGCTGACCCTATACTTGGCACACATCCTCATCTCAGCTGTGCCACTCTGAGGAGTGGTGATCTTTAAAAACCCTGTCTATCACACACTAATTCAGACCATCTTTCCTCTAGGTCAGCACCGGCAGTGAAATGTGGGGTTCAACTCTCAGTCTGAACCTAGCTGGACACAGGAAGATGCACAGGCAGCTCTGTGTCGAGGGGAGTGGGCTGGGACTCTGGGGTGAAACCCAGGAGGGACAGAGAAG